CACTGGGTGATGTGACTGAGCAATTTATGCTGGATTCCTGAACCCGTTGAGTATCTCTTACTCTTCGCGTAGTAGGGCGCCAGTATAGGTCGTTCTTTATGGTCTGAGAATGGGACTGATGTAATTGATGAACGATCGGCAAAGACTCCTCTGCCCGACAGGAGACTAATACTGATTTAGTAGACCTTTTATTTCAGGGAGGTTCTCGGTGCTGTTGCCATCTCAACAGGATTCATATTGTTTCATGCTACGCGACTTATGGTTGAGGTCCGTTCCCTCATCTTGTCTGCGTAATTATTGTGTTCGAATTGACTTTGGAAATTTCTACATCCTTTGTAACATTATCTGACATACAGAGGGATCCTGATTTATTGGCTGGATATTTCGGACTACCAAATACGTCTCTAGGTGCTGTTGCCGAATCAACAGAGCCATCTCAGTAGTGTCGTTGCTCGGGCTTTAAGGGTTTAAGGCATGCACTGGAATGGATCATTAGTTGAGGGGGACTGCATTTTAAATAATGCAATCTTGCATGACATCATAAGCGTGGTCATCTTCCGGTATACCGGAAGATTGATTTTACCTGATGTGGGGGTAGTCGCCTCTTCTATTGACTTTAGACCAGTGATTGCTTTTTCCTTGTCGCGGTTTGCATTGGATTGATCCCATGCTGCCTGTCATTCCGCAACGGGGCTACTATGGCCAGAGATTAGAAAGCTCGAGTACACCTGCAAAGTGCTTGTACATGGACCGGCTCAGCCAAATTGCCAAGTGAGTTCTTCATAGAAGGATTCATGGGCGCGTATTACACCGCCTCTAGTCTACCCACTGGATGAAAAAGACCACCGTGAAATAAGGCCATCAAGGCAGGTGTTCACGTTAAACATTCGACATTCATCTACATAGGTTTGAGATAACTTTGAGGAAAGGGTTGAAACTAAACTATAAAGTTTCAGAAAACGAAACCTCCTGTGGTGTCTCTACTTCCCCAGGAAAACTGGTGAACAGCTCTACTGCCCCTTAATTCGCATTAACATGCGGGAATATCAATTCCACCAGTCGAAGACAACCTAGAAGAAAGTTTTAGAACTCCAAATCTGAACATGGTGTCTCTACAGCACCTTTGTTCAGTGAAACTGGCGAACAGATCAAATGCCCCTCAGTACCACTGAGCAACTGTGAAGCAGCTTATGTAATGTCTACTTAGGTGGGACAGTTTTGAAGAGAAATTTAGAACTGCACAACAGAAATTCACCTATACTGGACAGTGTTGTGTTGTCAACATGCCTGAGGAGAGTTTAAGAACTCTGAACCCTCAATTGATCAGCTAGTTGAACCACAATGATCTGATAAACTTAAAAATAAACCAAATACTTAAGATCCGCTGACTTTATAATCTCAGACATCAGTGTAACTATATTTATTGCAATTATTACTGTTAATAAAAATCATATTGTGATCGTTTGTCTGTAGGAACTTATAGAATGTCATCAGACATCAGAATATATGTTTGTCGCAATCAATTTTATTACTTTAATTGTTAAAAATTATGAGAGCAACTCATTGTGAAAAACTGAGTTAAATTCATATTTTAAAATGATTGCACCAATCATGTCGATTTAAATTTAAACATAACACGGTTGTGTCAACTGCAAATAGTGATCATAATATTGTTGAATTTCAAAAATTTTCCAAATAACTGCTGTAATCATTTCCCATCCCATTTTTTCTCTGGGTATATATACTACATATACATTATGTATTTATGTTTATTTGTATGTTTGTATATATAATATAAATATGTTTTTTTAATGATGCAACATAAATATTTCTTTTTAAACGTTCGGTGAGCTTTGCTTTGACAAAATTTAAAATATTTTCAAAGTAATTTGTAGTTTTTGTTTTGTTTGTTTGTATGTATATTTTACAAATTAATTCTATGCAAAATTTATTACTGCTAATAATAATAATAATCATCATAATAAGTTTGTAATTATATTCGTTATTCTTTAAATAATTTAAAGTAATAATAAAAATATATGTTATACAATAATAGTTTTCATTCAGATTTAGTGAAACTAAATTAATACATAAAATTCTTGAAATTAACATACTACGAGAAATGTTTTCATAAATCATAATTATTGTTAATACTTTATATTTTTATTTATTTGTTATAAATATTTATAACTCCTTGTGTGTGTGTGTTTTCTTATTCATCTTCAGTTAGAGAGTGTCTAATATTTTTGAAATTTCTTTGGTATTTTGTTTAAGTTTTTGTTAGATCAATATTTATTTTTTATTTAAATTATTTTTTAATCTAAAACTTTAAATCTTCTATATAGTTTTAACATTTCTTAGTGGGGTTTTAAGTGTTTGTTGTTATTTTTTAATAATACTACATTTGCTTTGTTAATAAATTAAAAATTTCTAATCAAATACGAAGACCAAAAAAATTGCATGTGAGTTTTAAATATTTTACAAAATAATTTGTATAAATTGTTTTTCTGTTTTAAATTTTAAATTTTTATTTGCTTTATTATTCACAGTAAATTTTTAGTATTATAATTTTTGTTTAAAATTTGTTTATGAAGTTTAGTGTATGTGTATTAGTTTTGTGTCGTAGTGTGTATGGCCAAAGGGTTCTTATGAAAAAAACTGATATAAAAATGGACGGTATGTTGATTGGATCATATTTGTATTAGTGTCTCTTATTATTTCCTTTTTTCTCTCTTTATTTTTGGTTTTTAATATATTTTTTTTGTTTATAAGTCTATCATTTGCAAATTATTGGAATTATATTCTTAAATTAGTAAAATATAAAAAGGAGTAGTTAAACAAAAAAGGTTAAAATTTATTGGAAACCGTTGGCTGGGTAATTTCTTTCTAAGTTCATTTAAGAATAAAAATACTGTATGGTAATTTCATTATGCAAATATTTTTCATTTGTCTCATTCTTTTTAATTTTCACAACGGGATTTTTAAATAAAATATGGTATTAAAGAAAAAAGCTAAATGACATCCCTAGTTTTTAGACAACCTATGAATTTTAAGTTTCAAAAATCAATGAGCTAATAATAATTGTAAAAATGTTATTGTATAAATTGAAGAAGGAAAACAAACATATTTTTAATAAATAAAATTAGAAAATTTTTATAATATTTTTATATTTTTGGAAATTTCAAAATAGACCACTAAAAATTAAATTATTTTTTTTGCGGTGGTTAAAAATTACGTTAAAGTTTAAAGTGCACAATTTTAACTTTTTTATATATTTTTTTAGCAATACTCAATTTTTAATATTATTTAAATACAAATTTAAAATTTTGGATAAAATTTAAAACACCAACAAAAATTTAATCTCTTGAGATATTTATTTCACAACACGGAACCCATTGCCGATTTTGCCTAAACGTTTTATGAAATCCTACGTAAAAATCGGTAACGTTCCGACAATTACAAATCAGAAATGGCACGGTATATACAAGACTAATGTGCCTTATCGGGACTTTTTTTATGAAAAAAATTTAAAAGTTTGTAAGATTAATTTCTGCTTGAACTCTATGAAATAAAATAATTTTGCACCGAATCATTACTTCTAATGAATACTGGACCCAATAATGGTGGCCCTATATAGCCGTCTATTTAGGTGCAATATTTGATTTATGTGCTATTGCATGCCAAAGTAATCATATTATGATTCAATGTAATCATATTATGATTCAGTGTTATCATATTATGAATCAGTGTTATTATATTATGATCGCACATAATGGCTTTATGTAGTAGAATTTCGGATCATAATATGATTACTTTGAATCATATGATTATTTTAAACTATGTTATATACTTTAAACAATAATATGATTACTTTGGACCATAATATAATTTATCAGAAAATATTGTGATCATGTATGACAATGCTATGATAACATTGGTTTATAATAAAATAATATTATAATAAAATATTTGATCACAATATGTTCAGACTATAACCATAAATCTTCAATTTAGTAGAAGAATTTTGGATCATAATATGATAACTTTGCATCATAATATGATTACTATGACCCATAATATGATTATCTCAGAACATATTATTATCATGTATGACAATGTTAGTACATTATTATTATACATACATTATTATTATTATACTACAACAATATAATAATAAATATATAATAATAAGTAACCATATTATGATTCAATGTAATCTTATTATGATCCAGTGTAATCATATTATGATCGTACATAATGACTTTATGTAGTAGAATTTCCGATCATAATATGATTACTTTTAATCATATGATTATTCTAAACCATAATACGTAATATTACTTTAAACCATAATATGTTTACTTTAGTAGAAGAATTTCGGATTATAATATGATAACTTTGAATCATAATATGATTACTAAGAGCCATAATAAAATTATTTCTAACTATAATATGAGTGTTTTACCACAATATGATTACTATGGATCATAATATTATTACCTCAGAACATATTATCATGTATGACAATGTTATGATAATGTTGGGTTATAATATGATGTTTTAAGATCATATTATGATTAATACGAAAATAATATAATGAAATATTATGACTATATTTTATCAAAAGTCTAACACTGTGCTCAAATGTAAATGTCTAAAAATATTAATAATAAATCAAATTTAAAACAAATTAATCACTTAATATCTATTAGAGTTTTATTTAAAAAAAAGAGAAAAAAACATTTTGTGTTTGATGATTTATTTCGATATTTATGTGAATTATTATTCATATTATTCATGCAATTTATACAAATTATTTCAATAAAAAGACAAAAGTAAAAACAATCTATTCTATGTATAATTTATAGTTTAATGAGTATTAAATACTACACTTGTAGAATTTATATATGTATTTTGACTTCAAAACTCGTATCCGATCAATCAAACATACGTATTCATACATTCCATGATTTCTTTTAATTAGTTTGTATATAGATTTCATTAATTTTGTTATTCAAAATATTTTTCTTTTTTTTTTTCTCGTTTAATGTTTATAAATTTATCTCTTTTATTTTGGTTTTCCTCAACATTAATAATTTCGTTTTTACACAAATTTCAATGCTTCAACATTGGTTAGTTCGGTGTTGTTGTTGCTGAGTTCAAATTCATTTCACTTTTAAATATACAAATTTTTTTATACAATTTTTAATTTATGTAAAAATGTATATGTTTTAACACTTACATACGAGAATTTGTTTGTTTGTTAGGTTATGTAGTATATTAGTTATACATACATACAACAACATATAAATCAAAAGATTTTTCATCAATTTACAATCAATCTGATTCTGTCGATCAAATAATCACTGGTCGGTAATTTTTTTAGCTTTTAACTTTATAATAAGTTTATTTCTTGTGTGTAAGTCCATGCAACGACTTGCACTGCAATTATTAGGTATATGTAAGTATAAGTATATTCTCGGGTAGGCCTAAAGCAGCCCACCCATTTAATAATTTATTTAAGCATTTTCTTCTTTTCTTAAGTTTTTTATTTTTACGGCTCGGCGGCAACAATGTTTAAGTCAAATTTAACAAAAATAAAAAAGGAGCTCAAAATTTTTAGTAGAAAACCCAAAAAAGTTAGAAAATATTATCAAGTGTTTGTAAGTATTTAGTACAAATGTATCGACATTGAGTTGAAGCAATAATTATTGTTTTTGGTGATCTTTCAACTGACTATTTTTGTATTTTATTATTTTTATTTTTTCTTTTAATTTAACAAGCATTTATATGAAAATTTGTCCTCTAGTTTAAAAGCAAATTTTATTATAAAAAATATTTATCTTCAATTTGTTTTATTATGCAATTTTTCTACTCATCAAAGGTGAATATGATGATGATTTTTTTGGTTTTTCTAAAACACAAATTGTTCTAAATGCATAAAGTTTTTTTTCACAATTTCTTTGTTGTTTTTTTTTTTTTTTTTTGTTATTTAGGCTTAAGAAAATTTGATTAAATTGTTTTTATTGCTTCTTAATTTGTGTTTATTTTTTGGTTTTTATTGGTTAGTTTTTATTTTTGTTTTTGAAAAAAATTTGAATACTATTAATGGTTAAGAATTTCTGGTTTTCTTGGTTGTTTTTAGTTTTAATTTTTTATTTTATTTTATTAATTAATTTCACTTATAAGTGTGTGTGTGTGAAAGAGATTTTTGTGTAGAAATACTTAAACCTGAAGTAAAAGTTGGTAGATTTGTGGAAAATAAATAATTTGTATAAAACTTGAACCAAATCAGAGAAATAATTCTCATGCTATTGCACTCCCGGACATTGTTGTCGCCTGACGCTCACTCTGGATATCACGTGACCGCTCCTGTTCAGCTGATTCGGAACTAACAAAATAGACACATTATTTGTTTTGTGTGTGTGTGTTTATATTTTGGTTTGGTGCTCCACGGCCTGCGGCCTGTGGCTTTTAATCACTACTTTAAGTGTGTGTAGATAGAGAGAGAGAGACATAGATAGATAGAGTGGACTTACTTGGATCTTACCGCAATGGGACTACCAGGCATATCGATAGGATTGGCATTATTATTATTTGTGGCCGATGAACGACGACTATTGCCAGATTTGTACGTAAATATTGAATCGTTTTCTGTATCATTTTCGATTTGCTAAATCGGGGAATAAATTATAACATTATTTACTCAACCTTTTTAAACAAAAATTAGTTCAAACCTGTCTCTTATAGGACAAACGTTCACTGGATACGGAACCACAAGATGAACTCTCTGATACTGCTTGGGTAACAGTTGGTACTGTAGGCGGACTACTAGGTCCCGGAAAACGTTTCGAACATACCTGAGATTGTATGTGTTCACAAATACGACGGAATCGTCTTATATTACCTAAAGTAAATATTAAATAGTTATAATTTCCATTATAATTTATATACATTTCTGAGATTATTTACCCGATAATAGTGTAAATGTTAGAGCAAATAACATATCTGCTACATCACCCTGTTTGCAAATAGCACTAATATCAACCTGAAAATGTATAATAAAATATATTCTTTATAAAGTTATTGAAAACAATCAGGACAGGATATTTAACAAGTACGAAATTATAGTCGGGCGAGGCCGACCATATAATACCCTACCACTGTTACAAAATTAAAATGTGATTTAGTTTTCATAATAAAGCATTTAAGTTGAATTGTACCTTGCCTAAGATATACTTAAGCCATTTATTGTTGAATAAAATTGTGGACATTTAAGTAAAATATTAAAGGGGGCTTTGTATAGGGGCTATGGTCAAATGAGACTCTATAACTATAAAATTTTTGAGGGTCATCAAGGCTAGTATAGAACTTGGTTTTGCAGCTTTTTGTCGAGATACGAGTATATTAATCATAATTATGAACTTAGGAGCCCTATTCGGCGGTTTCAGTTGTTTGGGGGCTAGGTGAAATAATGGGCCAATGTTAACCATTTTCAATAAGCTTCGTCTCCGATACCATAGAAGATCGTGTGCCAAATTTCATTGAATTATTTTAAAAATTTCGACCTGTAGTTTGATTACAAGGTTTACAAGCCCTATTCGGAGGTTCAGTTGTATGGGGGCTAGGTTAAATAATGGACCGATCTTAACCATTTTCAATAGGCCTCCCCTACGTCCCTATGACAATAGAAGATCATGTACCAAATTTTATTGAATTATCTTCAAAATAGCGACCTGTAGTTTGAGGTTTACATGGTCGGACTGACAGACGCACAGGCGGACGGACATAGCTAAATCGACTCAGAAAATGATTCCAAGCCGATTGGTATACTTTAAGGTGGGTATAGGACCAATATTATTGTGCGTTAGAAACATCAGCACAAACCAAATATACCCTCCCCAATAAGTGGTGTAGCGTATAATAATTTAAAAATTAAATTTTTTGAGAATTTTTTTAACCGTAGTCCAAACCCATAACACTCAAATACTCTGCAAAATTGTGTACATTATACATATTTTAAAATCTCATATAATAAAGGAAATTTCTATGAATATAAAATGCATTAGACACTTTGGTATCATGTGACGTTTTAATAAATTTATATTTAATTTCATTTTATTAGCATCCTTCTAAGTTTTTTTTTTATTACTATGACTATGAACGCCCTTGGCAAAATGTGTAATTATCTGTTCCTAGGCCTCAGAGAAGAAATGCATAGAGTGGATAAATGTGTTACAATTTACAGCAACACCTTAAGGTTATTACTAAATGAGATTAACTGTTTTTATTGATTCACCCTCGTTTAGTTTCAAGTAGGCAGATACTTTAAGATTTTTACTTTCATTTATCTTGAAAATCATCATTCATGGCTCTTGGTACATGCTTACTCACACAAATTTTCCAAGTAATAGCGGCCAATAGTCAATAGCATGGTTAAAAGCAGTATATGACACAAAGACCTCATATATAAGCAGCATACTTATGTAAAGGGACGATCGTTGGAAACCGCGATAAATGAAGTACACACTTGCAGTACGCATTGACATCGAAGTAGCCTTTAATTACGTACATACTGATGGTTAGGTTAGGAGGTAAGGAGAAAGGATCCAAATTACTTGTGTAGAAGATCTGAATAGGTTCTAAAAACGGGCTTAGAGCTGGGCTCAACCGAAAGTCCTCAATATTAACACGGCGAAGATGGAAATATGTCTTTTCACAAAAAAGAAATCTAATTTCTAAAATTGCAAGAAGATAGCGGTAACAGACAAAGGTAAGGTGTAATCCTTGACCGGAAATTAAAATAGAGAAAATGGGACCTTAGTCTTATTATTATTCATTGGCTTTATAAAAGTGTGATTAGATTAATTATAACATATGCTTCAATAATCTGGTGGACTTCTTTGGACAAAAAGTGTAATATCAAACTACTACAGTGAGTTTAGCGTACATGCTGCTTGGGTATAAATGGTGTCAAGAGCATGACGTCATCTAAGGCTCTGGAAACGTTGCTAGATATTCCACCCATTGAAACATATGTATAGAAGATATAAGCCGAAGGAAGCTCAAAGCTATAGGCAAACTGGCCAAAAGCGGTTACAGGACATGTCTTCAATAAACATATACTGGACATATTGAAAGGCTATACACAGACATCGTGCTCTATCGCACAGCAGACACAGAATATGTCGGGAACTTTGAAACACTGATCTCAAATAGAATGCCATGATCAAGCTTAACATTAGTGCAAACTTGGATGGCTCTAAACTGTTGGAAAAAGTGGGCCTGGAGTTCTATATTAAAGTCGCCGAAACAGAAATGTACCACCGTTTATTTAATCACAACACTAGCTTCCGAGCAATAACGGAAAGCGTTAATTAGAATAAAAATAGCACCAACAGGGCTTAACATATTCCCCGACAGCCAAAAGGCGGTTAGGTCATATAAGCTGATAAACTTAAAAAAATTGGCCGTATTGGATTGTAAGAAAGCTCTAACTGAATACTCTCCTAGAGGTACGGTTTACATCATATTGGTACCAGGTCACTCGGGGGTAGTCGGCAACAAAAGAGCAAATGAAAAGCGAAGGGAGCTCGTGGTAGTAAATCCGATGAACTCAAAACCATTTGATTTGGGATTGATATTATTCCGGATATTATATTGGAAACTTCTTAGGAATTACGTCCGGGAAACTGAGTATCTGAACATCAGACGATAATACATTAAGTGAATACTACATAAGGTTTTTGTTTGTACAAACAAAAATTATTTACGACCTTTCGCACAATGGAGCCTTATATCAGAAGCCGTTCAAAAATTATTTTAATCATTTCATAGAAATAGAGCTGTATTTTTTGACTTCCTTAAAAATTTTAAATGGATTGATGATTTTTGGTTATCATTTCCGAAAAGGGTGTACAGTGTGTTATTGACTGGTGATTGTTGTCATACTCAACAAAAGCTGGCAACATCAGCAATTTTAAAACATTTGCAAGCAGCGAGAGACCTTGTCCATAGAAAATACTTCTTGCATTAAGTTAATAATCGTTTAAAGCGAACAATAGCCAAAAAACGCCCAGAATATGCTGCTATGTAGCGTGGAAGCGTATAACTTATTATCTAATGACAACAATTTGTCACTTACTTTGAGAAACATACAATTTAATATTTGCGGCTTTAAGTGATTGACAAGCGATAAAATGTAAGAAAATTTCTTTAAGATATTGAATTCCCCTACTGAGAATCCCTATAATTCTACTGTTTACATTAAAGTGGGAGCTGTTTAATTTATTTCAGAAAAATGTACTTCTGATAAATTTAAAGAAGTAAAATTTTGTATAAATAAATAGAATTTAAAATTAAGCTATTAATATACCTGAAATTTAACATGTCGCTGAAACATGACCGGTCCATTGCCGTTACGTTTATACTCAACACGAAATGAGGTTGGCGAAACCACACTATGCGATAATTCCGCCATCTAGAAGGAAAAATCAAATTTTAAAAAACAAAACACTGCTCTCAATTTTGGAAAAATGTATCGATAAAACATACCGACAAAAATGCATGAATCAAATGAGCCTTAACAGTGGCAATGGGCTTTCCTTTAACCAAAATCGTAAAGGTTTCATCCTTTTCAGTTGTGATTAGATTACCAAACCAGGAACGTTTGGTTAATTCTGGTGATGATTCTGGGGTTAAATGAACCTCATCAGCGGAAACTGTAGAATAAAAACAAGAGTTGAAAAAATTGAATTATAATACTAATAGTTTTTCAACTTACCCTGAAGTTTTCTTCGATGAAAGCGTGGACTACCTAAGAAACTATTCTTAATATTGGTAAGTCTAGTTTTCCACAGTTGTCCACCGGGAGCATTGCATGGTGAACCCGTTATGGCAGCAGTACTATTATTCATCAACGGTGATGTTGTAGGATTCATAACTGGAAAATATATATAAGAGATTTAAATCTAGGTCTACACGATTCTAAATTGTGTTACACTCACCATTATTGGCTTCCGGATCGTGAAACATACTTATGGCGATTGTGGGTCCAGAATTGGCCCTTTGATGAACTGTTGCTGAATTACCACCGGGACTACCGGGAACACAACTAGTTTGTACTGTAGATGAACGTTCGTTGCGTGATTCTCTTCGTTCTCGCAGCTCACGAGATACAACCTCATTACTACTGCCACTATTATGACCTTCAACACCAGCCTGAGATGAATGTGATGAGGTCCGACTGCTAGGAGTATGATGTACCGATGATGATCGCTCTCTATCGCCATAAGTTGAATGACGTGACGAGTGACCCGACGATGAGGCCGGCGACGAAGGTCTGGACAAAACATTGGCCTGCTGCTGAGCCGAACTAATCGGAGAATTACATCGTGTTGGACTATGATATGAAGAAGAACGCATCGTAGAAACCGATGTAGGAGAACGTCTTTGGTGATTACGTGTACTACTATAGGATCGGAAGCTGTTAATGTGAATTTGATTTGATTTGGATTTTGAAGGTGTTTGTTTCGTTGTGTTTAAAGCAGGTGATAGAGGCAATAGCATTTTACAACACAAGATGTTTTGCAATAATATTTTTTTTTATGATGACGTGTAAATGTTTTGTGTTTCATACAACAGACAATTTACAACGAACATATACGAATAACAATGATTGATTTTAAATTTTGTTTCATGAAAGTACAAAAATATTTAAGTGTTAAAGATAAATTATTTATTTTGATGTACAAATACTAAAGAATGCATGAACGATGTTTAAGTGTGATATATTTACATTATAAATAAATATGAGATAAATTATTTATTATACCCTACATCTCTGGCTTGCGGCATATGTATGCAACACACAATACAACTACAAGGATTCTAATTGTTCTAAACTGTTTCGAATCTATATCTGAGAGGTTTGAGTATTTCATACTAATTAATAAGTCATATATAATACTCTATCTAAACATTCTGAAATACAGTCTCTATATTGTGATATATCGCGTATCATCAATACGAACCTTCCGGATAGGACTTTGAATGTAATAGTATTCCACAAAAATCTGATACTACCGATTTTCGTAATGATCGGGTTTTATTTGATACTTACAAGGCTCTTAACTCCAATGTTATTAAGGCGAAATGTCTTCTCAATTGGCACAACTGACACAACATCATGTTTAGTTGATATGAGTTCCAGGACATGAGGGCATCCGGGGAAATGAAATATCTGATGAATGTGCAACCAAAGGGTCGTCCCTAGACTTAACCTACACACACTCTATCAAAATTGAGAAATTAATGAGTTTTGAGTGAGACGGAACTCAGGTATTCAAATATCATCACTTGTAGAACATCGAGACTGCTCTGGCCTCTCTGACAACAGATAGGACTAGGACGTTCTTGTCTCTTAGTAAGAACTCGATTAGGTATAATTAGACATATGTCGGAACGTATGCGCTACCCAAATTATAGTTACTGTAGAAGTGGAATCGGTACAACACCTTCTATGTGACTGCCCATCCTTACAAGAGCACAGACTACTTTATCTTAGTAGAGCTCTTTTCCATGATCTAGACTATCTCAGAGGTGCGTCACTAATAAACGTGATCGGTTTATTAAAAGCACCGGCTGGTATACACGGAGACCGAACGAACCAAGTAGTCAACCAAATTAGGGAGGGAAACCCTTCTCTCAATATTAGGGAATGGTAATTCTAAGGGTATGACAATGGGCCACGAGACCTCCGAGTGAACTCACTTGCTAGCGAGCAACCCACGTAACCTACCTACCTACCTACAACTGATGTAGAGTATCATATAATCGGCTATACCCTATGAACTATAGAACTAGTCCTCTTAATTTAAAAATAATTTTTCTATTTGAAGCCATCTATTAAAAATACCGGAATTTAGGAGAATGACCTGTTCTTAAAAGTCTGATTGTAATTTTGGTTAACCACTCTTCCTAACTTTACCTTAAATATTCAGATATTTTACTGAACTGATGTTTGGAAAAATTTTCGATCTTAAAGCCATGTTTTAGCAAATGAATGCAAAATAAGTATAGTTTCCAATGGATTAAAGAAATCGCCAAATTAAAATCTTATAAAATAGTGAAATCTACAGAACAACAATTCTAATACGTTCACATACATACATACAAATCTAAAAGATATTTTACACATTGACAATTCAACAGTTATTAGTTCAACTCACTTGAAAGCTTGTCTTCTAGGCGTCAAGGGAGAACCTTCAGATATTTGGCCATAACTAGTAGAGTTTGTACCATTAATACGACATGTATCTAAACGTTTACGTGGAGGATCAGCGGCCTCTAGTTCACTGCGAGATTTTTGAGCGATTTCTTCATCATCTTCTAAAGCTGGACGTCTACGTTTACGATCCAATAACAGAAAATATATAACTTTTTCGGTATTGTGTCTAAATAAAAAAATAAAAAACAAGAAATGTAAAAACTTTTGAAAACACTTAATTACGATTACTTACGTTGAACTCAATAATTCTTGTATAAGTTTTTCCTTTTCCTTAAAACAACCCAAGGAACAAATGGCATTTAAAACATCAGGGTCCACAGCCGAAGCAGAAGGTATAACATGCGTCTGAACGACTTCCATCATGGGAAGCTCCAATTCTAATTCACCCTTACCACCAGCAGTAACCCACGGATGACGATTTATTTCAGCCAACTACCCCATAAAAAAATAAGAAAACCATAGTTAGACACATATACATATTACTCACACAGATTTTTTAGTTTTTTAGCTTGTTAAGCTTATTTTGGTAGCATTGACTACTGACTGACTCATCATCATCATTCATTTATTGTTTACACTTTTATGCGTCAATAGTAAGATGATGCTCATCCCTATACTTTTCGATTTGTTTTAAAAACATAAGACAAAATATCTAAAAGTTTCCTTTCAAATATGGGTGATTTATGTTTTCATTTGTTTGTATGTGTACCCTATAGACAAATTTGTCATTCTGTCATAGAATTCAAACATTTACACCATAATCATTGCAGTTTATCACAATAATAAAGTGTATTTGTATTAAGTTTTATGGTTTTGCCTGAATTACCAAGAGTTCTATTTAAATAAATCGTTTTCTAGATGAAATGTAAATTTTGAAAAATTTTCAAATTCTTTCATAAAAAATTTTGGATTCCCATTTTTGGTAAATACAATTCTAATGATACAGATCAAAACATAATAAATAAATTATAACACAGATTTTGTCATTTTGTTACTTTAATACTAGAACTATTATTCGAATAAAAATTATTCAAATAAAGAATACTATTTTTATTCGAATGAATAACAATTTTTAATCGAATACCCGAATTAATATGTTTCAGGATAAATCGTCTAAAATTCGTCTAATTGAGCAATAATCAATTACAATTACTTGTAATTGAAGTTATTCCAATTGCAATAACTTGTAATTGAAGTTATTCCAATTACAATAACTTGTAATGTGTAATAGACCAACAAACCATTACTTGTAATTGTAATTAAAGTTTTTCCAATTGCAAGTACTTGAAATTGAGGTTTACCAATTACAATTACTTGTACTTGTAATTTAGGTATCACTAACTACAAATTACATGTAATTATAAGGAACAAAAGCAACAATTACAAGTAGTTATAATTGGATATTCATCAATTACAATTATAGGTAATTGTAATTGGAAAAACTTATTTGCAATTACTATTAATTGTAATTTGCAAAGCTTCAATTACAATTACAAATACAATTAAAGTAATTGTAATTAGTAAAGCTTCTATTGCAATAACTCCATTGTAATTAAAGTTTTCCCAATTACAAGTACTTGAAATTGAAGTTTACCAATTACAATTACTTGTAATTTAGGTATCACTAATTACAAGTTACATGTAATTATAAGGAACAACATTAAACAATTACAAGTAATTGTATTTGGAAAACTTTATTTGCAATTACTAGTAATTTGCAAAACTTCAATTACAAATACAATTAAAAGTAATCGTAATTAGTAATGCTTCTATTGCAATTACTTCAAATGTAATTGTAATTGAAAATGTAATCATTACCCCCAAGCCTGCTGTTTTTATACCCTTCACCTTCGTGAGAAGGGATGGAGAATTGTGTGTGACAAATTTAGCAGGGATAGGAAAAAATACAAATTTTAAAATGCAAATGGGTTCCTTTTTTCTTTGCTACCAAGGACTAGTTTTTGGTACTTTTTCGTTCTTTAACTGGTACCTGTGAGTTTCTATATAAGTTGAACCTAGAAACATGAAATTAACTATGTGGAGGTAAATGGGAATATATAAAATGGGACATTCCGGTACTTTATTCGTTCCTTAACTGACATTTTTTGAGTTTATGATATTGAACATAGAAACATAAAATTAAGAATATGAAGAATTTCGTGTCAAGTGAATCGATGTCTTCCGATTTGGATTATTAAAATTTTTTTTTTTTTGGAAACAATGAAGAAATAGCTACCTGAACTCCTTTGGACAATTTTTGCTAGGACCAATAGGTGAAAAGTTACACTCATTTAAATAAAAACTTGTATGACAAAAATGTCCAACTTTGACCTTTAAGTCCTGCAGTTCTTGACCGATAGAGCTGAAAATTTGTGTCTGATCTACTATCCAATAGTACTAACTTTGGTGCAAATTTCTTGTAAATCAATTTTTTGAGTTGGGTCATTTGACATGAAATTGCCCATAGATCCCGAAGTAAATGAGAATCTATAAAAGGAACATTTTGGTACTTATTCTTTGTTCAATGATACTTTCAAATTAAACACGCAAAGTCCTGATTGAGTAAAAATCTATTAAAGTGAACTTTTTGGTTGAAACCAAATATTATCTAATATCATATCTTTAGTTCACAAAAAGTATGTCAAACAATAGGTTTGGGACGTGCAAATTCCTATTGTGATCGAATAGATACCAAAAAAATCGAAATTTGCTTGAACTTTTGAAACTTAACCGTTAA